GTTTTTACATTTTCCATTATAGTTTAACACAAGTGAGAAATACGTCAAAATAATCTGAAGCAAAAATGAAGGGAATTAAATGATCTTTCCAATAGCACCTTCAATTTTACGATCGGACTTTATTTATACCTTATAGAGAGCAAAAATTGCAAATAGATCCAATTTAGACCACTCTCCTCTACTAAAAATAGTACACGTAATATAAACTACAGATTAACAGTAGAGCTACAATCGATTATCAAATAATTATTTTGATATGAAAACCTCAAAAAAGAGGCCGTGAGTAATCAATATTCATAGAAGGCCACATTAGCAAAATGCCATGGTATTGTTCAAATTTGCATAACTCAAAATATATACTGTCAAATAAAATGTTAAATAGCAAATAACATACATATCAAAAATACATATCCATGTGATAATATGCTCAAGTTTAAGAAAAATGAGGAAGTAGGTATAATTAAATGCTAAAGTGTACCTCAGAAACGTTTCGAAATACTTGAAAGTAAAAATGCGTTATAATAAGCGCTGGCTATGGAGTATTGATAATATTAGCATCATGGTGTAACGGCGAGTTACTGAACTAATAATTCCATAAATAATCATTAGGATTCGCTATATAATAGCGAAGATATTAAGGAAGCCCACAATATATACACTGGCCATAATACCACCTTCTCCTTTATTATCTCATTTAAAGAAAAAGATATAGTAACTGTAAAAGTGACAATTACAGGTTTTACATGTACATTAATCTATTCAACTATGTGCATTAATTTTACGTATATTTATATAATTATCATCTTTAATACAGTTGCCGTCACTTATGTTTTTTCTGGATGCAAATATTAATCTAATTTAAGGCGATAGCAGTTCGAATATTATAGTAATTATTAACATTATTATTTTACAATGAGATTTTATTTATTTTTTGTTATTTATTTTACTATCATCAATGTAGAAAATACGACTGTCAGAAAAACTTTTACGTATAATATCCGTTTCTAATGTAGTTTAACTTTCATCTCGAGTCAACTAATTCATTATCTTTTTCTAGTTTCAAAATAAGAATTAGAAAAAGATAAAGCGCAAATTGAATGAGAGATTGAAATTAATCCACTTTGGTGAAAATAAGACTATGAGTATATACATACATATACTTAAGAATAATTTATTGTAGACTTATTAAATTGATTTTTGCAGGCACGTTTATTTTAATGAACATCCGTAGAATTACGTGATATATAAAATATTTGTTTTTTTTTTTATTTCAGATCGGGAGAGCACGATAATATCGAACGTACGTCGCGATCGAGCACAGGAAAGCGGGACGACCACGTGAGATCCGGTCTCTAGAGGACGGAAAAATATGAACATTTCGTGAAGCCAGGAAAGCGGAGTTTTCATCATGGAAACCGAGGAACTTACTAGGCTTGTCGACGAGATCTACAAGGTAAGTAACGAATCCTTTCGACCGAGTAGGGAAAACGGTCAAGCGCATTTACTTTCAATTATTGGATAGTTACGCCCGAATTGACAAGGAAAATGCAAATCTCAAGTTTCAACTAGAAAGTAGTTGAAATAAATACAATTTTAATCTACACGATTATCGTTGAAGAATGAAAGTACATTTATTCTTAGAGAAATTTAATACTGTAAATAAATAATAAATTGATTAGTGATCAATTACTTACAATTAGTTTGAGTATTAAAACAGTAAGAGTGTTTTTAACACTCAAGAAATAAATAATTAATCACTAACTAATTCAATAATTTACAATAATAAAGAACTACAGGAGTGGAAAATTGAGTTTCAGGAAATGAGTTAGTTTTCATGTATAATGTAGCTTATAATGTGGTGAACAAAAGATGTCACTAGACTAGATAGACACTAGACTTAATAATAGATAGTTTGTGAGCTGTGATGTATAAAAAATGCTCTGTGAGCACAAGTTTTATATTTTTAATACCTCATAGTTAAAAACTATCCATATATGAGCTTTGTGTCTGTGACATCTCCTGTTTCATTACTCTCTAAATCTCGTGGAGTGAAATCTCACTCGAAGGGACTGAAAATTTAGTCTGTCTTGAAAAAAGAGTGAAAATACTCTTGTTCAAGAGTGGCAAATTTTCACTCTTTTTAGAGTGAGTTTTATTCTTTTGGAATGAGATTTACTCCGAAGGAGTGAAATCTTAATCTCTTTTTTGGAAGTTCCATCTACCTTGGTATTACATTCCAAAAAAGGGATTGAAATTTCATTCCTTTGGAATGAATCTCATTTCAAAAGAGTAAATCTCACTCTAAAAAGAATGAAAATCTGTCACTCTTGAACAAGAGTGGCCGTATTTTCACTTTTTTTTCAAGACAGACTAAATTTTTAGTCCCTTCGAGTGAGATTTCACTCCACGAGATTTAGAGAGTACAACATAAACAACATTACACGTACATTAAGAAAAAAATGGTTCATTTGATTAAATTAATTTATATTTCGTCTTTATTTCTTTTGATGAAGAATGTATGTATTTTTAAGTGCATGCAGTATGTATGACTTAAATACATACATTCTTCAACAACAGAAATAAAAACAACGAAATTAATTTAGTTTAATGAACAATTTTTTTTTCTCGGTGCAAAAACTAATTCATTTCACTGGGACTTAATTTCCTATAACTATAATTATAATCAGTGAAATGAATTAGTTTTTATAATTATAATTATAATTAGTACGTTTACCCTTTAGGGTCTTTTCTCTGAGAGTATATCCTTTGTACGAAAAGGCGCGAGAATCTGAACAACGACCGATTTCATAATAATTTAACGATTTTATCAAAGCCTTGCCCAATAAATCTGCATTTTTCGGAGGATTATTTAGGAGATTGGCTTCGTAATAATCAAGCTTTCAGGATGTCCAGCATAATTATCGCGGCGGCACCCGGCTACGATATGGAACGACGCTTAGTTACGATCTCCCGGAGATCGCATCGAAATAACGAGGTAACCGCTGGTTAACCCTGTTATCGCGAGGCCGAGAGTTTATGAGGTCCCGTCGCTGACAAGCGAGCCCCATGGCGCGAGTATATCACGCTGCGCGTAGTTATGTTTCAGCGGGGTTATTCAGCCAGGTGTACTTGGGAGGGGGAGCGAATGCGCACCCCTGCATGGATATTAATTGGCTTCCGATCTACACGCAACCCCCTCTCACGCGTGCCATCGGTTTTCGTGTGTCGAGGGTGCGCCGTTACAGAATGTCGTTCTCCATAACCGCACATTCCTTGGGGTTGTAATATTATATATATAAAATCATATAACATTGTAACATATATATGTATAATTAATTAATTTTATATGAAATCAATAATGAATGAGTTAATTTGCCACTTAACATATGTATACTTGCCTTAGGCATATATATACAGGATGTTTCATTTTAAGTGATACGGTCGATTATCTCGCGAATCGATGATTTCATTGAAAAATTTTTTAAACAAAAATTGCATGGCTTGAAGGGGCTTACACTAAAAATTCATTTTTACGTAAAAATGAAAATAAGAGCTACAACCTCTAATGGCCTTGATCTTGACAAATGTTATTCAGGACATGATTCAAGAGGTTTTAGCCGTCGGTCGGACACCTTGTGTAATGTTAGTGCCGGCGATATTGTAACTTTCAAGCCTCATAACTCGAAAAGTACTTAATGAAAATGAACTTAATTATAGTGTTTTGCAAAGCTCTCGAGATAAGCTACAAGAATATGTAATAAAAAATAGGGGTTTCCATTTAAAAAAACATTAATAACCTTGACCTGATTTTGACAAGGTCACTCAAGGTCAAATTCACATTTCCATCATATGTCCCCCTCCAAGCCATGCAACTTTCATTTAAAAAATTTTTCAATGAAATCATCGATTCGCGAAATAATCGTATCACTTAAAATGAAACATCTTGTATACATATAGTGGTTATTACGAACTGGAAAATAATATGGGATAAAAGCGTCAATATGAAACTTTAAGGATGTATTATATATATTTCAAAATAATGAAAAAATTACACGTCATTTTAGATCCCATTTAAAAATAATACAGAAAAGAGGAGAGAAAGAGAGAGAAAAACTGAGCAGTTTAAAATCTGAATTAAAAATTATTTCAATAAAAAGTAATATTTTTTTATCTATAATAGAAATGTATTTATAAAATAATGACAAAAATTTCAATTTTTTATATTAGGAGTGTGATTCAGTTTTGAGGGTTTTGCAAGAGATGGATTAACGCTAGTGTTGTTGAAGACATTCCAATCACGGCTATTATTTCTTAATACTTTAATATTATTCCATGATATTTAGTCGTTTACAATAGATGTAGTAAACATTGTGTTTATACCATTTAAAAAATGGAGCTCTCTAAAGAGCATTTTCGATATACGTTGCTTTTTTAATTAGAAAAAAACGGCGACTGAAGGCCGCCATTTATAATTCATAGAATTTTAACAGAAACTTATGGTGATGTTGCTCCATCAATTAAGATATGTGAATATTGGTTCAACGATTCAAAAATGATGATTTCTTCACAACAATGCTCGACCTCATGTTGCATTATCAGTGAAGCAAACGCTATTAGAGCTGGAATGGAAAGCCCTACTGCACCCCGCGTTCTCCAGATATTGCTCCCTTTGATTTTCACTTGTTCTGGTCGATGCAACGTGCTCTAGACTACTCTAGAGAATATATACTTTCATAATTTCGAAGAAGTGCGAAAATTTGTTGAAAATTGGATCAACTCCAAAGAAAAATTTTTTTATCGTCACAGAATTCATCTCTTACCAGAAAGATGAGAAAAAGTTGTAGAGAACGAAGGAAAATATTTTGATTAAGATATTCGCTCATTATCTTGATTAAATAAATCAATTTTTGAAAAAACCGTCAAAACTAAATCACACTCCTAATATTTTAAGTATTCAAATGATTCATGTAATATTTTATTGCGATATAAAAGATTAATTGTTCCATAAATAAAGAAAATTTATATATTTGTTTTTTTGCAGAACACAACTAATATCTGCATCGCAAGGAAACTCTCTTTGCATAAATTATTGCGAACACTTCAAAAACTTATATAAAATAAATTGAGATTTTGTCATTGTGGTTTAAATTTTAATATTATGATAATAAAAATAATTAAGAATTATTTTATTAAGATAATAAAAATAATAAAGTAAATAAATTATAAAAATGTATTATTTAACTTAACTTAAAAACAATTTAAGTTTATTATTTAATGAAAATAAAATGTTATAAACACAATTTTTTCATACGCATATAATTTATTTAAAATACAATATATAATTAAAATACAGATATTGATACAAAAGTATAAATATAAATATAAAAGTATAGAGGTATAAAGATTTATTTGTAAAAGGATTTGATACATCCTTAAATACGAAACACACGTTACGATCTACGTCGTCCTCTTCGGGAATGAACTCTTGACACATTTTTAGTCAATATTTTCAAAAATTAAAGTAGTAGAACTCGTGTTTTAAGCAACCACTTAATATTAGCGCCCTGACTGTTTCTTCTCCGCTTTCTTTCTGTTTATAATTTTGTGCTTCTCCCTCAGTGCGCAATCCCGCGAAAAAGTTCCGCTTGAAAGATTCAGAAACTTCGTTTACACACTTCTGTGAGCCTCTTGTATAAAAGTTTCCTACGGGATTCCTCGCGAATCTTCAGATCGATATTTTGATCATTGGCTCGCGAAATCACGATGGGTTCGAAAAACGTCGAGGGACGAAATGTCTTTCACTCCATTTCCACATATCGGCCCTACGCGAGTCCCTCCCTTTTGTCACTGGGCCCTAGATAGTTAAAAAGGAGGACACGTGTTAACGATCGGTCGGTCCACGTGGCTTAACGAGGTCGTGCTCGTTATGCATGTTCATTAGAGCGTTCATTACGACCACTTGTCGCCCCGGGACAACCTCGGAATCCTTAACGGCTGAGAGGATTAATTTTTAATATATATCTCTCTCTCTTTTTTTTCTAGTTTCCCTCTCCACGAGGAAGCACCCGCGGTGAATTAATCTTTTTTTTTTTTCGTTTCTGCCGTCGGAGGAAAAAATTCATTAGCATGTCGCAATATGGCGCTATTCGGCGCAATAAGCGGCGCGCGCGATCCCTGATATCTGCGTTTCCTTTCCTTCTTTTTTCCCCTTTTTTAATAAAGTGATTTGCGTCTCTCTTTCTCTCTTTCTGTCTGATTTACGACTGGCGAAGAAACGCTCCACGTTCGGAGGGAATTAAAACGCGATCGAAATGTGAAGTAAGATTTTTATTGTAATAATTTAACATTTTTTAATAACACACACACAGTTTTAAGAAAATTTTACTTGTATTCTGTATACAAAGAGTTTGCTTTTCTTTTTTTTCCTTATAATTATGTACATATTACAAATTA